AATTAAGTTGATGCCAACTAACTTGTCTGTTAGGGAATTCGATGTAGAAGAAAATTTCTGCTACCAAATGTTTTTGACAACAGAGTCAAAGAAGGAATGGATGACATTAAAGGACACATCTGTATCCATTTGGTCCTCTGTAACTGGTATAGCGAAATATACAAGGTTAGTTAAGGTAAGTTTCTAAATTAAAAAAAAAGCCTCTTAAATCAGGTACGTGTGACAGTTACAAAAGATTAATCAATAAAAATGATAAAAATCTAGATATATTTGAATTAAGACTGCTTAGCAAGTGTTGTTTTCATTGTAGGCACTGTATCATGGATGTGGCTTATGCAAAAACAGAGGTCCAATGGTAATCAATGAACTCATAAATTAAGAGGGAAAAAAGCCTTGGCCTAATGTCAAAAGATTGGCAAGTTGACAAATTCATATATATGTCATATAGGAAAATAAAGTAGGTAGACATCCCTTTAAAATGATTTCCTGAGTTTACTGACTTTTGCTTATCTAAGAAACTATGAGTTTAGACCCTGTCAGATAAGGGAGTTTCTACTGTAATGGGAAAAAAATTCATAAATATGGAAATTCACATATCACTATTTCCAAATTTGTTAATATATTCATTTATAATAAATAAAACCACCTAAAAGTTAACTGTAACTATATAAACAGACTTTTCAGAAAAGTGGTACATCATAGAAAGAAAAGGTTTCACAGCCTTGTTAATACATATAATCAAACATACGGAAAGTAACAGACCATTTATAAAAGTAGAAAAATATAATATTATCAAGTGAAACTACTTTGATCCAAAATCAGGAGCTACAGAATATATATGTATGCCTATTTAAATGTTTGCAATGAAAATTTCAAAGAAAAAGGTTTTAAGGTAAAGTTAGTCTGCTGCTATATTAAGAAGCCAATAATATAGAAGACTGAATCAAAGGGCACTGGAGTAAAAATTGCATCACTCTTCAAGTGTAGCAAAACGACAATTTCGACCTAATTTGACTATAATTGTAGCATCTCCAATCACTCCCAATTCTGTGTTCCTACGTAGAACTCTAACATTTAGCTGTAAAATGTATGGATGAAGAGCTATACAGATCTAAGATCATGAATTACATCTACTTTACTTTTTCTAGTTTTATTATTAAAATTATTTGGTAGATTATTGTTAAGTCATTTCAGGCTGAGTGCTTTCCAGCAGAACATCAAGTATTCTCACCATATATTACTTAAATGTAGCTGTCCCATTTAATAAGATCTCATTAAGTTGGTTGTTGGCAGATTGGGTATATCCTAGATATTCTCATAGGTCTTTTAAATTGTCAGTTAGTAGAGGGAGATGCTCCCTCTGAGAATTCAAAAGGAAATTTCCTGGGTGATACTTTGTTCTTGTTATTCTCCATTTTTAATTGGCAGCTCATTGTCTATTAGGGAGTTCAATCTAGAAGAAAATTTCTGCCACCAAATGTTTTTGGCAACAGAGACAAAGAAGGAATGGATGACATTAAAGGACACATCTGTATCCATTTGGTCCTCTGTAACTGGTATAGCGAAAAATACAAACCACAATCTAAAAGACATGACTGGATCACATGAATCACTGTATTAATTAAATATGAAAGCAAGAACAAACATAATACTAAGATGTGATGAGAAGGGACTAAATGTTATAATGTTATTAGGTGTAGGAAAGGGACCTCCAACATTTTTAGACAAGAAACATATTTTTCACTGAATTTGTGATAGCAAAATGAAGATTTACCCCTTTCATTTCTAAATAATCACTAAGTTACTCATCATGCTATGGATGTTCAAAAAAGAGATAGACATGGTGTATTTCCTTAGTAAGGGAACAATT